GGTAGTTTATTAGATGAATGTTCTAAGAACTGCGAACTTAGAGACTGGCAGAACTACGGCTGTGCGAGTTTAAGATTGCCTTCTTGGACTTAGTGCAACGTAACGCGAGCTGATGTGCTCTTTTTTCCTGTAGTTTATCCTGCCACGTTCAACTTGCTCAATCTTGACATAATTTCCTGAAAGTAGTTCATACAGGTTTTCCTTGTGACAAATGGGCAACAGCCTTTTGCCTCATACCAAAGCCGAGTACATTTATATGTTTGAGGCTGAGAAAAGCAGCATGTAATTAAAGCCCATATAGTTTTCTGTGTTACATAAAACATGGCAGTCCCTAAAATTTAACTGTGACCTTACAAATCATGATAATGGTCTTTTGATTTGTTCTGAGTATGTATCCTATGTTAAAAAAATACATCCATCATGCAGTGCGCTGATGCAGCTGTTCGTCACAAGATGGAAAGGTTGAATCTCGTGCACAGCCTTTTCTGCACTGCTGAGGTGGTGGGCAGCAACGGTGTTGGATGAGGTGTGATTGCCACTGAGTTTCAGATGTTGGTTGAGATGCTGGAGACGCACGTTCTTCTACTCAGAGATTTGCAGGGAATACATCTTAGAGGATACAGAGACTGCTGCCAGTGTGCTTTTTGTGCCTTCAGTGTGCTCGGGCCCTACTTCTCCATTTCTTACCTTAATCTCTGTCCAAGCTCATCAGTTCCCTCCTCCCTGTCCACCCCAGCTCTCACTTTTTCTCCAGCAGCTCCTTTCAGTCCAAGTATTCTTACCCAGGTAGTTGCCTTCTTTCAGACAAGCTCCCCACATCCCAGTTTCTGCTCCGTTTTCCCTTAACAAGTCCTGTTTCTTACCGTGTCGTCGGGCAGTCCCTGTCTTCAGGCTTTTTCCTTTTGCTCTGTCTCAGTGTGTGCTTCTACTCTTACCCTGCCTGCACAGGAGGTTTCCCAGATTTCTCGTGCTGTCAGTCACAGTATCTTTCCCTTCCCTCAACTTGCACCTATTTCAAATCTCATCACACTCCTTTTCCTAGTTCCCAGCCCTGATATTTTTCCTCTTTGTGTTTTCATCAGTTTTATTTCCTTTCTGGCTTAGATGCCATGAAGGTGGGGTCACTGGGTAGGCACGCAGTAGAGAGGAGCTGTCTGCCCTGTTTGAAGCCTGCTCCACTCGCTGGGGACAACTTGCAAACAGAGTTTGTGGAAGCTTTGTCTTGGCTCTCACACCCTTGAGCTGGGAAGAGTGGCTTTGCTTTCTCTTCAGTTGATCAGAAGCAGGATCATTAGGAGTTTCGGACAGAAAACTTTTTTCATGCGTACTTAAAACTGTGCTTTGTGTTTTATTGTAACAAAGCTACTGCTCTTTTTAAATGCATCGCTTGCTTTAATGTAATGAAAGTCCGCCTGCAAGTTGTTTGGTGTTGTATTATGAGCCTGGACGGGAACTGATGCACTTATTTTTCTTTTTCATTGTACATTGTTTGAGTGTTTAAATCAGCAGGCACTGTTGTGTCTTACACAGAGCAGAATTAGTAATACACCATTTAGCATCACCTGTTGTGTGTCTTACCTCCTTGGATGCTTGATTTCTCATCCTTAGTGCTGCAGTAATACTGGGTCTGTAAATGGGATAGCTTACAGTTTGTGTGCTTATTTCAAAAGGTTTTGTTTTTCCTCTAAAAATCGCTCCAATGATCTGTGTGTGAAGTTTCTTAAGCATACAGGTATTAGTGGGATGCCAGTGTACATCTGCCCAGAATTATTTCTTGCCGTAGGATAAGGGCTTTCATGTCGCAGCTGTCAGTGATAGTGAGTATCTGTGGGGTCAGGTGTTAGTGACTTGTTCAGACCTTGTCTTGTTCATCGTGAGAATGACCTAGGAATAGTGAAGTTGTAGGTCTTGGTACTGATTCAACTTCTGTCTTCCTCCCCAGTAAATTCTGTTATACTGAATAATGAAGTAATTTAGGTGGTAATCTTTATTGATGTATATTAAAAATAAGAGTAGCACATAAGACTAATTACATTAAGTCCCCTGCAAACTGTTTTTTAAGATGTAGATTGTATTTGTGACTTGCTGTTTAATTATTTCAACTTGCAATGTGCTTTTCCCTTTCGATTGAAAAATAGATCAGGGTTTTCAAGGACAGTTTGGTAAAATGAACCCTCCTTCTGTCCCGTGGGACCATGGGACCCCTACCCATTTTCCTCTCCTCCGAGGAGCGTGGCCTTACAATATGCCTCAGAACTACATGCAGCAGGGAAATGCCAGCTACCCACCGAACAAACCTTTCTACCCTCAAGGTACTAGAACTAGTGTATGAATCAACAGCTCATGCAACATGTCTCTTTACTGTCTCAAAGGCTTTAAAAGCCAAGAAATCGTGTTTCACTTGCTAGGCTCCCTGGAACCGTAATGAATCCAAGAGTCGAATCAACGCTTCGGCTTCCTGTGTGGATGGATGAAAAAAGTTGTGGGAGGGAAGGGGTTAAATCAGATTCCAAAATCGGAGCCGATTTGCAGCCTGTTGCACTTCTGACCTCTTTCTCCTTCACTGTGGAGCCACCTCTGCTTCAATAGAGGTTAAGATTATTTGCCCACGAGTGTGTTAAAAATATGAAGAAAATTTTGTTGTAATTAATTGTATTTGGGTTTTGCACCTTGGCTTGTAGAATTACTTAGATAAAAACTTGCAGTATTTCAGGTTGGAAGGGGGCCCGGAGGTTCTCTCATCCAACCCTCCTGCAGTCAGAGCTGCACTCACGTCAGGGTCAGATCAGGTTATTCAGGGTGCTCTGAAGGACTGGCTTGATCTCAGCTCTTTCTGATGCCAGCGAGTGGGGAAGGTTTTCAGCATAGGCAGGACGGGGAAGGGCTGCAGGAAGAGACCTTCGGCTCCACTAAGGGAGAACCTGTGCCGAAGTTTTACCGGGAGCTTTGCAATTCCTGCGTTGCTGGGTCACCTCGTGTAAGGTGAGATCTGCTGGCACCAGATCCTTTTCTCAGAATCCAATCGATGGGCTGTAGCGAGGTTTTCAAGCGAGACCAGTATTTTAAAGTCCTGAAATGATTTGTTAAATACCTGAAGTGATGCAACAAAATAATGCATTGATGATTGTGAGGGGAATTTTGGAAATGGGATTAAAGTAATACTGCGTTGTCCCATTAAGTGGGTTAGTTGTGTAGACAGCGTCTGTGTCAGTTTAGCAGGTAACTTTATTTCTAAGTAGGATGAATACGTTGACTATAGCCAAGCACTGTTCAGTTCGTTTCATTTGCTGAAGTAATTGTAATCCATTTTCTTTTAGCTGGTCCACTGATGCAGAGTAACCAGCGGTTCTCGCTTCTGTCTCAAGGACACCCACACTTGAATCTGAATTACATTCAACAGAAAAAGTGAAATTTAATGGGATGGGGGGGTGGGGGTGGGGGAGGAAATAAATTCAGGTTCTGATTTAAAATCTTAATGCAACATGTTTAGATACGAGATTATTTAAGACTGTTTTTTAAACTGTATCATTTGTACATAGATAAGAACTATAGTTTTTACCAGTATCACAAAACGGAGTGATACAAATTTCATCTATTTTATTACCCTATTTTTAAGGGGAATTGTGTTTTGTTTTATCTTGATAAACTGTAAAGAGAGAGAATTTTTAAAATTAAGTTCTTTATTTTCTATTAGCTGTATTCATACTTTGGTTGCTTCAGACTTTATATATATTGTTCTAAAAAAAAAATAAAATTAGAAGGGGATTTCATGTGTTTAAAAGTTTGTCACTTCTATTCTTTACAGAACTATGTAGTGCCAAAAAACTTTTTAAAAGAAAAATAAAACCGCAAAAAAGGACCTAAGACTTTTCCTCTTCCCTACTTGCATGCATGCATGAACTGCAATTAGCAAACCAGAATACTAAAATAAGCTTTAATGTAGCCCTGAAAGGAGACAGGAGAGCTTTAATGAGGCACACAATCAGTACACCTTGCTTTCTCCGTGCTGCTGTCGTTGCATGTGCTGTGCACAGCCAGTGTCTTGTGAAATACTTCATCTGAGGGAAGAGCCCTCCTGCTTTTCTGTTCATAAACTGCAAAATAATATGAAATCAGGCTGTACTGTGAAGTCATTCTAAAGAGGATTTCCCATAAATGCACTTCTTGTCAACACTCGTTGGGTAATACCTGAAAATACTTAAGCCATAACTGCAGTGATCAAGATGCGAGCTCGTCAGTCTGTGCACGTGAAGGCAGACTCTGAATGCAGGATGGTACACAAGGGGTTCGACACAGCTCGTGTCCTGTGATGAGAACTGTAACTGGAGTGAAAGCTTAATTATTCTTAATTTGAAAAACAGGGCCTTGCTGGATGTTGACTGCATTCAGGGAAGGTAGAACTGGACAGAGTTGTGTCCTGTGCTGTCCCCAGTCAGAGGTAGGCCACAAACTGCTCAAAGTAGCAGTTTACTGTCTTTAATTACACTTAATAACTTGCTGCCTGAGAAGAATTAAGTGGTGGTTTGTACTCCTGGAGCTTCTACACTGTCTGATAGGAGCATCAGAAGCAGCATAGGGATGATTGCTACAAAGGAACCAGTAACAGCTGTGTTTTATAGCTCTCGCATTCAGTAAACATACTGGATTATGACAGACCTACTTCCTTTCCTGTACTGGAGGTCTGAGATGGTCTTCAGTGCCTGTAACACAAACATTCTCACTTTGGCAACTGAATGCCGTGGCTGTTTGTCAAAACAACGCCCTGATTTGAGGATGAAGCCAGCTTCAACTGGGGGACATCTAAACAAAGCATTATTAAAACAAACACCAAGGAGCCTTTAAAGACAAACCTGCCCTTTTCTTTATTGCTCTTCACTGGTTTTTACAGGGCTTAAGAAAAACAGTTCAAAAACAATCCTCCAATTCCATCACGAGGATGAGCATATACCTACATAAAAAGTATCCTTACCTCTCTTTTAATGAACAAACAAACAAAGAGGACTTGTACAAGAGGAGAAGGATTAAAGAAATGGACTGCTAAAGCAGCCGGTCCATATCCAGCTGTCCGTAAAACAAAGAGGACAGCATCAGACTGCAGTTCGAGGTCCTTAAACTGTGTGCTGGGCTTAGCTTGTTATTCATTGCCTCGCCGACTCTTCTTGTGACTTTTCTTAGACCTGAAACAGGAAAGAAAAAAGAAAAAAGCCATGGTACAGCACTAGTAATGGTTTTGAAAGACCAAGGTGATACACAGCAGGAAGTGGTGTTTTCTATGGTAACATGGATAGTGTGACTTGACTACAACACTGAGGCAGGTACCGTATGAAATATTTGATCTCCAACATTGTAAGACCTTCAGTCTCCAAAATTAAATGACAAGAGCTCCTACACCAGTACAGATGCCCTTAAGAAACAGGCCAAGCCCTTACCTTTCAGGCGATTTGGAATGACTTCTGTGTCTGTGACTACGATGGTGCCCTGTGAGGTAAAGAGTTAACAGTTACTTCCATAGACCCTGGAATTTGGTTTTGATTTGCTAATGCAAGCTGCTTCTAGTGTCTACATGTCCTAGATAATGCCAGAACTACCCTACTTTTAATTAGGTAATTAAATTAACCTTCTGGCAAACACATGAAAAACGCACTAAAGGCAATTTGGCATGTGTTAAAGGAGATCTCCAGCTGTGCTTTCAGCTAAACCAGCAGCTTGATGAGCCAGATAACACCTACGCTACCTTCTTTATACAGTGACCGTTTTTTCTTGGAGTGGATGTTCTGCTGAAAGACTCGCCAGGGTTAATCTGTGAATGGCAAAAATACCTGGAGATTTAGATCTTGATCTGTGGCGCCTCTCCCTGGATCTGCTTCGGTGTCGTCTTGGGCTTTTGCTGCGATGCCTCTCCCGGCGTGGTGATGGACTGAGAGAAAGCAAGCTTTGAAGACAGCCATACTGAAAATGCACACATTCTAAGATAAAGTAAGAGAATAAAAAACTACCTCCTTCTCTTTGGAGAGCGGCTTCGCCTGCAATTGGGAGAGAAAAGAAAAAGTTGCTCAAAATCATCAGCAGAGCCAGCTGTGCAGTTTCCCATATTCTCCAGCAACAGGGCTTCCCTTGCGCTTCCTGTGCCCCCAGTGTGGTTGTCATGCTGCACAAGAGGCACTACGTGCTTCTGGACTGACCCGGACAGTGAGCAAAGGAGGCAAGTGACGAGTTCTTCCTGGCTTATTCTCAATGAGAACAATTAGCAGGATCTTCTCTGCAGCCTCAGGCTTACATGTAAACAAAGCACTTCATTCTCTGTAATATTTGGCTGAGGTTGGCCAGCAGGTTCAAGAGTTACTGGAGGACTAGAGGAATAGGCACAAGGGTTGACTCCGCCTGTGCACTGCAACTCCTTATGGCCAAAGGAATTGGGAGGTGTGAGAGACTATGGCTGAACTATCTTCACTCCTGTGCTTTGCTCCAGCCATCTGCAGCACAATAAGTAAAAATACTGCTCAAGAAGAGCACCTCACCTTCTTGGAGACCTGCTTCGGCTCCGCCTGTACCGCACAGCTGGAGATCTGCGAGGTTTATCAAGGTCTCTGTAGCCTCTCCTGCGGTGGTCAGGAGAGGGTGCTCGTTCCAGCTGGGAACAATGGCAGGGGGAAAAAGGTTCTGTAAGTCCTGTGTCATTGAGATTTTTATGTATCAGTAAGGATTTCTGAACAATTAAGATAAATGACAAAAGTATTTCACGTACAGAAATGAGTGCCTAAGTTTGCCAGCTGGAAGTTAAGGTGGACACATCTGATACTGTTGATTCTTAAGAAGTACAGCACAATTGAGAATGATGGTTATCATAACCTCCATCATCACCTGTAGTTCTCTCCAATCATATATATATGTATTGAAAACAATTTAACTGAAATATGTTAACACAGAACAGATCCAGATTTGTGAATTTCAGGAGGCAGAAAAGCTTCATGAACACAGAGCAGCTGAAAACTGCTTCAGGATCTAACAAGCTCTCATAAGCTGCTTATATGAAAATATGTTAAGGGGGGACATAAGAGTTAGAAGCAACCTTCTGGTGCCCCCTCAAATATTTCTCATAGACCATAGAGTTCTGCAGTGGTTCAGCACCAGCTTTAACCATCCCTTTGCAAAACTGTTACCAACCTTCTCATCTTCTTCCTCCTCCTCCTCACTGGATTCTACATCATCCATGTCTTCTTCCAAAGCACTAACACGAGGCTCGAGTTGCTCAGCTTCTTCCAGAACGTACCGTTTCTAGGAGAAATTATAACTGTATCTTACACAACCCAAGTGGGAGCAAACACCCAAGGAGGCATCTCGTGCCAGAGGGGCCTGGATCGTGGCTTTATGCAACAAGCCAGTAGCTGATACAACTATTGAATCTGATGCAGTTAAGATTCAATAACCATCTGCTTTTCCAAACCTGTAATCGAGGCAGAATGATATCGCATACACGTTCCTCATGGAGCAGTCTGTCAATGAATTCATCCACATGCATCAGTTCAAATTCTGGGGGGATGGAAATAACCAGCATTTAAAAGACAAATGAGATTAACACTGGTAGCTAGAGTAATGTTGAAACACTTCAGAAAATTTACGGCAAGTGGGCTAGACAAACAACGCTTCTAAAATCATTCCCAAAGAGAAGGAAAATCATTAGGTCTATCTTGCAAAAAGAGGAACTTACTGCACAGCTAGGACTAGTAGATTGACTGTGCTTAAACCAGCACTCAGATGGTGTTTCTGTGACATTTATGGACCTGCGTTTCAGTGCCCAACAAGCACTTGCGGAAGGCACAAGCAGCAAGGCAGTTCTCATCTGCACAACAAGCAAGACCAGCAACAGACTATCCAAAGGACGAATAAGTAAAAGTAAGGTAATGAGGAGATGCTTATGCCACACTTTTTAAGCTTCTATTACTAAAAAGAACATTTACTTTATCTAGCATTATTTATTTTTTTAACAAAAAGTACCTCTGAGGTACTGAGGAAACACAACCGAGGAGTGCTTACCCCCATTTCTGTTCTGGCTTTTTATTTTCCGATAGTCATTGTACAGTGGCTCGAGGTACTTGTAGCAGTCAATAGCAGTGCCTGTCAATCGCATGTACAACGCGCCAAGCATTCGGACATACCTGAGAAGAAAACGGTTTAATGGATTTGAGCTTTGTGCACAGTTAGAAGTTTAGATGAAAGAGGTGTTTCCCCATAAGTTTCTGAGGAAAATCAATACACTAAAATAAACAGAATACATGACCATTTAGATTTTCTCCTTCAACTACTGAGGTGTGTTAATATATACATAAAATAAATGTATACTTAAGTAAACATACACAATCTCTGTATGGGTGCATTATGACTCACAAAACCAAAAGAAATACTGAAGAAAAAGATTTAAATGGCTCCCTTAACGCACCTCGTTTTAAATACTTCAGGTAAAGGTGTATTGGCACAGAGAGAACTCACTACAAAGGCAAGCGATTCCACTGCCCAAATGAGGAGGAAAGCAGCCTTTTGCAAGGGAAAGGACATGCTTTTTAGCAAGAAAAGCTAATCAGGGCCCACCCTGCACTGAGAGGTTTCCCTGGCTGTTTTAGACAGTTCCATTCAGGACAATCAAAAGCGGGAAAAATCAAGCCACCAACTTACTTGAAGTCCTCGTTTTTTATGAACTCTACGATGATGTCCTTTTCGGGCTGGATCTGCAGCATCTTCAGCGTCAAGCACAGGAAAGGCGTAGGCTTAATGTTCCCACCATAGACGCCCCCCACGTACTTCAGCTCCATAGCTTTATCCACCACCAGCTCGGCTAGGAGAGGGACGGGCCGTCAGCGCGGGCTCCTCACCGGGCTCCCCACAGAGCCCCTCC